CCCCCCCCAAACCCAGGAAATTAGATAATGAAATGATAACCCCCCAGTTGTTAAAGTTGCAAAATTAAGCATGCAAGTGTTAGGAATACCATTAGCAATTCAACCTTAATTCAGCCCTTGTGCATATGCATTATGCTATACTTCTTAATTATACATCACAGACTAATTTTTCTGCCCCCCCAACATGATCTCTGCCTCATTCAGTGTTGATTACAAGAGCCTTCTCTCAGGAATTGACTGCTCAGGCTGCTAAAAGACATTGTTACCAAATTGGAGGGTTTTGCAGTTGAGCTATTGCCTTGCTTTGTTTGGGCAGTAGAGAATAGGGATAAGGTTCCAGGTAGGCCCTTCATTACCTGTCCTGCTAACACTTTGCAAATGTAATAAATAGTCTGATATTGCTTTAGTGCATAGCATATGGCAGATGGGGGGGTTGGGAGGAGGGATATATGTTCCTTGAATGCTCTAAAGCAGAGGTCAGTGACCTTTCATTAATAGGAGGCTGAAATAACTGCTTGAGTGGGCTGGAGGTTGACTTGGTGCCTGTATTGGACATAGCAAAAAAAAATTCCAGTTGGACAACAAGTCAACCCCCATTGAAATAAATGGGCCTGATCACTTGTCTGGATTTAAAATGGAGCCCTAGGGTGGGTTGACTTGTTGCCCAGCTGGGAATGAGCTCTCAATTTTTTAGAATGCATGGCCGAGGTGATAACCACCTATCCCTTCAGTGATGTATGAACAGCGTAGTATAGAATTTGTGAGCTAGGCTGTTTTTGCACTTGTCAAATTATTTTCTCCTGCACTGTCCCAGCCAGCCATTTTTAAGTTTAATCGATTTTTAGGGTTGGAAGGGACCTCAGTAGATCATAGAGCCCAACCCCTTGCCCTGGGCAGGAAAGAGTGCTGGGGGCAGATGACCCGAGTTAGGTGCTTGTCTAATCTCTTAAAGACCTCCAAGGTAGAGGAGAGCACCATGTCCCTTGGAAACCTATTCTAGATTTTGGCAACCCTCACCATAAAGAAAGTTTTCCTAATGTCTAATCTAAATCTGTTCTCCATCAGTTTATGGCCATTGTTTCTAGTACCCCCAAGGGGCAAGTACAAATCACCATCTCTTAGATTTGTAATCTGCTAACAAATCCAAGATAACCTATAATGTGAATTGCTTTTGTGTTTAAGAGCTTGATCCAAAATCCACTGAAGTCAATGGCTGTTTTTCCAGTGACTACATTTGTTTTTGGATCATTCATTCCCACTTTTTCCAGGCTTGGGACCCCAGTTCTGCTTGAGTCCTGTTTTTTTCCAGTTGACTTTCCATGGGACTCTTGACCTCCACTTGGTGTTGTGACCCAAGTTTGGGAACCATTATCCTAAACAGCTAGTATCACACACTGGCAGTATGCCTCACAGTCCTAAGGTAACAGTTTAGCCATTATTCTGAAGATGGCATACATGGATAGTGTATTAGTATTTTGAAGATAGTTCAGACCTGAAGAACTAGAAGGACCTTAGTATGATGTAGTGAGTAACTTGCAGTCTTGCCATAAAATAACTGTATGAATACTGCCAGCACTGAAGCAAGTGGTGTATAAATACTCTTTTTTTTGTGTTGTAGCCAGGAAGACTAAAAAACAGATCTTTGTCAGCTACAATCTTCAGAATACAGACAACAGTTTCACGTTGCTTATAGAGAACAGAATCAAAGAAGAAATGATGGCTTTTCCAGAAAAGTTCTAACTTTACGTCACTGTAAGCTAGGCTAACTTTTTACAAAATAAATGAAGTGGGTTTCTGTAGTCTGACATTGAGGTAACATTTTGAAAATTTGCTTTTGTATTTATTTTGGACTGAACTTGTGTTTTTGTTCTTAATAGAAAAATAAAGAGATGTAAAAACTTCTTCTAAGCTTGCAGAAGTTCCTTTATTGCATTAGAGAACAGTAGTAGGAACGGAGATTACAGGGGGGAAAAATTTAGCGACTGAAGGAGGATGTTATAGAAGCGTGCGTGTAAACAGCACTTGATCTCTGTTTGAAACTGTAAATGGTCAAGAAATGTTCTCTGGATTAAAATTGTATAATTAAAATATTACTGCTACAGTGGCAGAGGAAACATCTCCTTCGACTCATGGAAAAAGTTGGCACACTTGCTGTGAAAAACAGTATGTTAACCAAACAGAAGCTGCTCTGATGTTGTTTTCATTTGAAGCCTGGTGAGAAGGGGAAAAGAGAGAAGCTGGAAAGGAAATAAGTGTTCAATCTGAAGTGTGGTTTTACTCTGGAAAAATTACCATGAAAAATTGACTTTTTAGTACATCTGCATGTGTGTGTATTTAGCTTTGTCCCCTGACTTCAGTGAGAAGGTTTCCTTTTCACCATGCAGAACTAAGATTCTTTCACATCAACAGAACAGCATCTATACACTAAGACCTCATTTAGCGTATAGAAGAAACTTTTGCTACAGGTAATAGTGCAGAAGGAAGATGTGTGGTTTGGTGATGAGTTAGTTCAGCTGAAAAACTTGTTGCATATTAGAAAAACTTACTGTGTATGTAAACAGCACAGTTGCCATGCTCGAATTAATAGGATCACTGTCACCAGAAGGAACCCTAGTGGTAGTTTTAGTCGCTTCTCTGAGTGAAACCTCACTTTCAAAGGGCTATTACTAAAATAATCAAAACACCACATTGTACTTTCCATTGTTTTAAGGGCAGCTGAATATGTTATTCAATACTGAGCTGATACAAGATACCAGTGAAAAACTGGGGCCTTTTAAAGAAGCATCTTGTAAAACAGTGCATCCTGTACTGACTTGTCAACTGATTTTAGAATATAAGAATGACCACTTACTAGGTCAGACCATAGGTACATCTTGCCCAGTACGCCTGTGGCACAGTAACAGACAGTGGATGCTGAAAGGGGAGTGACCAGGGTTTTTCCCTTGTTTATTCCCCATGTGCAGCCTCCAGCATTTAAGGTCTAGGAAGTTTTGATAATTGATAATTTGATTATTTGCAGCACTTTTTTGTTAAAATGTTGAATGTAGCAACTTGCCCATGGAAATTAGCATTATTCTTTTTCCTTTACTAAAATCTGAAATCCTCCTTTTCTTCACTGCACTGCATGCCTTGCAGGCTTAGAATTTAAGTGACTGTGAATCATTTGGGGAACTTTGAGTAACAGAGACCGCACATTGAAGCTATTGCTACTGAGGGGCCATCCTGGAGTAGCAGCTAGACTCTTGTTAAAAAAGAAGAAAAAAGACTGAGGGGTCTACCTCCCATGTGCTAAAAAGATAACATTATTTAGTCATCTCTGAACATCAGGGGATGTAGGTTTTTTCTTCACCTCAGTTGTCTAATTTACTATGCTACTTTGAGCAAATTATTTAAACCTTTGCAATTCCTTTACAGAAAGGAAAATAAAGGTATTTTAAAAGCCTCTGAAGCAAGTGCAACATATGAATGCTGCTGGAATAGTTCCTGGTAGACAACTACATTGGCTGTCTATGGGAAAGCCCTTGGAAACTGGTTCATTGTGGCCATGGGATCAGTAATTAAAAAGTAACTAAAGCAGATAATGCTTACACAAAGAATCCAGCTTTCTGTTATAGCCAGTCTCCATATATTTATCAAACCATAGTGGTGAGTATCCTTGCACATCTGCCACCAGCTGCTGCTTCTACAGAAGTGTTGTAGAAGTGAGGACAAAAACCCATACTGGCACCTGGCCTCATGTGGACACTGCTTAACCAAAACCTGTGCTAACATAGGAAAGGCTGAGACTATCTTCACACAATGCAGAACATGGTCTTCAGGTCAGCCGTCAGTTCTATTCGTATACCATATTTACTTGCATACCATACACCCCCCTGCACTCCTTCCCACAAAAATCCTTCCAAAATTAGTGCATCTCAAGCAGGGGAGCTGATTTCTGTGCTGAAATTGAAGCATAGGGACACTATAATGGCTGCCAGGACACAGCTGCTTTCTCAGGCAGGGAGGGAGTGCAATCTGCAGCATCAAAGTTGCTGACAACTTGTCAGCAATGGTAAGAAGGTTAAAACTCGCTTTTG